TTTTTTTTTTTTTTTTTTTTTTTTTTTTTTTTTTTTTTTTTTGTTATTTTCCAATAATTTTACGGGCTTCGGGTCGGGGTTTAGAAGAGTTTTGGGCCTAGGGCTTTAGTCAAAAGCTGGATTCAGTATCCGCCCATCGAATTCTAGAAGCTGAGTTGTTCTACAGCAAAACCCAATCGATCATGCTTAAAGCCTAAAGCTTCCTCTGCGATTTTCCTGCCCCCTAGTTCCTCCGAGAAAAAAAGAGGTATTTTTCAACCCAAGATATGGCCGGTGAGGTAGCGGTAGAGGGTGCTGCGGCGGCGACTGAAGTACCCGATTCCAATCAGCAGTCCCACAAATTAGAGAGAAAATGGACCTTTTGGTTTGATAATCAGTCGCGGCCGAAGCAAGGCGCCGCTTGGGGCTCCTCTCTGCGCAAGGTCTATACCTTCGACACCGTCGAGGAATTTTGGTGGTACGTTCTTGGATCCTTCTCTGCGTTGATGTTTAGATTTGGCCTTTTTTCCCTTCTGTAGATATTCTCTTTTGCTAGATTAGGGCATAGCTCTTTTGGATTTTAACTAACCAGTCGTGTATTGAAGAGAATTATTTGTCATGTATGCGTATTTGATTGGATTCTCTACGCTGTGGGGGTTGTGTTTCATTTTTCTTTGAAGTCGAACCACGATTTTGTACGAGGTGATTGGACATGAGCCAATAGACCAGATTTGTTATTTTTACGATTTGTGATTTCGACTATTCTGCAGTTTGTACGATCAGATACCAAAGCCGAGCAAGTTGCCGGCCAATGCAGATTTTCACTTGTTCAAATCTGGAGTTGAGCCGAAATGGGAAGATCCTGAGTGCGCTAATGGAGGAAAATGGACTGTCACGAGCAGTAGAAAGGCTAATCTTGATAGCATGTGGCTGGAAACGGTATAGAAACCGTCGAATAGTTTTATGCTGAAGTTGTTTATTGTATGCCTCATGAGTTTGTGGTAATTGCTTGCTTTAATATGATCGAAATCTGCGTTGTTTTCTTCCACTGCTAGTTGATGGCTTTAATTGGGGAACAATTCGAGGAATCTGATGAGATTTGTGGCGTAGTTGCCAGTGTGCGCCAGAGGCAGGACAAACTTGCATTATGGACAAAGAATGCAACAAATGAGGCTGCTCAGGTTTGCTTCATTTTATTGATTTTGTATCTAATAGTCTTCTACGAGATTATTGGTAACAAGCCTGTCTTCTCTGAGGCTTTGGGTTGGTTCGGTTCTTCCTTCTGTTTATGATCCTTTTTGAGATCTTATTCGACGTTCTTGAAGTTTTTGAGAGAGATCATATTTTCTGCTTATATGAAAATTATCTTCGCTTATTCAGTAAACGTATAGTTGTTGTTGTGAATGTGCAGATTACTAATTGTGTGTAGCTCCTCTTGTTTGCTTTATTTTGGCCTCTTTTGGGCTGATCTTTCTTGCAGTGCTTTCCTTTGTTTGCTCTATGAATTTTGGCTTCTATGAATCATGTCTTGCTCTATTTCATTCATACATTCATGTTAAGTATTCCAGTACTAAATGTTACTGCACCATTTCACATTTGTTCTTAGAATTTGTCTATTTTATTAGATTGCTAGCCATTGCATTTATAACATATTACCTTTATCTTAAATCAAATGCAATTTATTAGGCAACGTTTAGAACCCAAGTTTAACCTCAATCAGCAAGGGACTGGGGAGGGCCTAGGGTGATTCGGCTTTGACTGACTTAATTGATTTTGGATGTTTCGAAGAATCTTACCTGCTGCATTCCTTCTCTTTGTTATTATGCAAGTTGAATTTTTAAGCCAAGATGCCTTTAGTGAATAGGAGCCAACTAGCTTTGCACTCTTTCTTCAGTATGTTTCAAGTTGTAACTTGTTTCAAGATCTCTGGTTAGACAGTTTGCAAATATTGAGAGTAAAGTAGATGTTGAAAATATATTTTGTATCATTATTACTTTTGACATGGTGAATTCAGTCCCCTGACATTCCGCCCATTAAAGCTTCTAAGCAAAGTTCTAAAGACTATGGCTTACTCTTGCTTTTCATCATTTGGTGCAGATGAGCCTTGGTAGGAAATGGAAGGAGATCATCGACGTCACCGACAAGATTTCCTTCAGCTTTCATGTAAGCATCAGTTTTGTGGTCATCAACATTTTCTCCCGTTCCCTTCATTTTGTCTATTAAATCTCTCTGTTTTTGGTTGGCTGTAGGAGGACTTGAGGAGGGAAAAGTCGGCAAAATCTCGATACAGTGTCTGATCATCAACTAGATCCTGTTGCCGTGCTAAATTTTGAGGAAAATACTAAAAATGTTATTTCGACATACTTGTCATTGTTGTTATATTTCCTTCTTTTGTTGGCTTTGTTTTCGGATCCAAGACAATCGATTCAGATCTTCCATGCTTTGAATGCCCAGAATTTTACTTCCATTTATTTGTTGGAACATACCCATCTAGAAGTGAATCAATATACTGAAATTATTGTATTGTATGATTCCATAATCACATCTCATAGAGCAGATTTATGGGGAGGAGGGCTGTCTCATTTGGTTGAATATTTTGATTTGTTCTTTACTGCTTTGCCAGAATTACAGAAGAATGAAGCACTTCCTGTGTCTAAAGAGTGAGTTTTAAGAAAGTAACATTACAGCTGATGAACTGAAGCAAATGGAAAGCAGGAGAGCATACGAAGAAGAAGAAGAAGAAGAAGAAGAAGAGCAGAGATGATATCTCTCAGGCAAGGAATCCAAGTCTTTCTCCATTCTTCTTTGCTAGCCTGATTAATCCTTGTCTTTGTTTTCCATCTGCTCCAATTGACTTGCAAAACTCTGTGATTACCTGAGAAACAACAAAATTCAGGAAAACTAGATGTGTTTTGAATCTGAATCTAATTGTCTATGCTTCTGTTTGATGATTATTTGGTTCCGTTTGATGATACATTACTATCGAAGTAGGACGGTTTGAAAAACTAGATGTGTCGAATCTGATGATTATTTGGTTCTTGGTTATTGAAAATTTTGGACCTTTTTTTCCCCTTGATTTAAAGTTTGAAATGATCTAAGTGAGAGATTAAGGGGGAAAAAGATGCATTACCTGAGAATGCAAGGCAATTGCTTTGCCTCTAAGCTGATTGAAGCGCTTCTTGCCGATGAGATTCCGAGTAACTACAACCAATGGCGCAAAAACCCCTTTACCCTCATTGACGTTCTTCATCATCGGCCGGAACCTCACCGCCTTCCCCATGCCCACTTGCACTGCAGCCGGCTTCACCGCCAGCAGCGCGTAGTCCTCTCCGGCCACGGAAGAACCCCATCCTCCAAGGAAAGAAGAAGAACAGGACAATCCAGTTGCAGAAATGGAAGTGGACGCCATGGAAACAGCTTCTTCCTCCTCTTTCTCTGGTACAACTCCAACTCCTTGCCCCTCTGCGTTCTCCGTTTGATGCTTGGATGTAAAATGTGGGCGAGGAAATTGGGGAGTGAGAGAGGGGATTGTGAGCCACACACCGCGTTAGGGTTTTGGCGTTTAGTTTGAAAAGCAGAGATGTGAATGTGAATTGTACATGCGAGCTTCAATGGTCCATAACTTGGGAAGAATATGAGGTGGTTGAACTGTATTGGTGTGGTGTTTGCTTCCGCAACGGGGCCCTGTCTGCTGCTAATCTTATCAGCGTGGCTCCATATCCGCCGCGAAGAAGACGAAGAAAACACCTATTTTACCTTAGAATTAAATTTACTTCCATTTTCAATTTCATTTTTTTTATTAATGTTATTTATTTATTTATTATTATTATTATTATTATTTAAATATATATAATTTATATTTATATTAATTTTACACGTTTATAAACTTTTTAATGAGCTAGTTTGAATAGACTTTAAAAATAAATTATGTTAAGTTCGATCTATCAATATTAAAATGATAATTAGTATCTATATTATAGTCTAATTTTTACTAAATTTTGCTAATTTGCTTAATAATTAAAAAAAAAACTCTCTTTTTTTTTTTTTCTAAAATTCTATAAATTTTATATTGTATGCATATTTTATAATTCATTGGATAAAAGAAAATTGGACAAAATTTTAAAAATAAAATTGCAATATTTTTAAAATTTGATGTCAACCTTTATTTAAATTCGAGGTGCAATTTAATAAAACAAAAAGTTTAGAATTTAAATTTTAGTTAAATTTATAATTGAGGTTGTATTAATGCATCGTCTTAGCATTATTTAATACCCAACCTATTTATTATTATTATTATTATTATGTTGAAAAAAAAAATAGACAACTTATTTTAGGCTTTACATTCATTTCCATAATTAAGTTTTTGTAGCTTCTAAGTTCCTTTACCGCACAAATTATGCTTAAATTATAAGGAATGGAGCTTTAAAAAAATCCAATTATTAAGAAAAAAACAAAATAATTAAAGAAAAATCACTTCATCTATGAAATTGAATCGCTCTTCCAACCATTTCATTCATCAAGCTTGTTTTTGTTGAGCGGATTGAAGCTTCAGGGTCAACGATCGGCCAGCTCGGTCTTCCCAAGGGAAGAATTCGAGAGCAAACGATGAACCCATCAACAAAATGAATCGAATTCTTCAACAAAATCAATAGCCCTTTCAATGGCGTCATTAGCAGCGCATCTCTCCGCCGCCCTCTTCCTCGTTCCCATAGGCGTTCGTCGGCTTCTCTGTTCTTCCTCTGTTTACATCGACAACCCATCGCTTTACCGATCAAGAACATGGTACTTATCCGAAACCAAATGGAAAAATTTCGATATATATTCTCTGATCCTCCTCCTCCCCATTGCCGCCTTCTCTGAAATCTTCCTTTTCCTTGCATTTTCCGGGAACCCCACTTACAAATTTGCATTTTCCCATCAATCAATGGCCATTTTCTTCTTCTGGGCACTCACGATTCTCATTATTTTGCGGGAAAATTTCGACCCTCTTCTTGTAAGTGAGAGTTTCATCTTCGTTTTCGCTGGAATCGCTTTTCTTATTGAGTATTCAGTGATTGGCAATGGTATTACTGGTCTTGGTGGCGCTTTTTATCACTTATCTAGCGGATTAGCCCTTCTTTGTGCTTGTTGTTGCCTGTATTTATCTATGAAACCCTCTGCATTTTTCGCTGAATTTCTACTTTCTTCTGGCTTAACGTTTAAGGGTACATGGATGTTCCAAATTGGGTTGTCTTTGTATACCGATGCGTTTGCTTTGAAGGGTTGTCGTGCAATGTTGGTATTGCCTGCTACACAAGATGCCTTTGTTCAATGTGATCTTGAGGAGGATCAGATGAGGGGTATTGCTTTGATGAACTTAATATTCATTGGCCATGCTTTTTTGGTTTTGATATTGGGTTTAGGCTTGATTGGTTTGTTGTCTAGCAACAAGCCTTTTAGGTGCCGCGAGGGGAGCGGCCCTTTGTTGGCTGAGTTTGGACAAGAAACCATGTTGAGTTCATCGTCTCCTGAGATTGAAATGGAGTGAAATTGTATGGCTTCTCCTTCATTACTGTATCTTTACACCAAAATTGTATGGCGTATAGTAAATGTTCTTAAGTTCTTGTTCTTATATCTTCTTTTTGATGTTTTGATCATTAGAGAAATGAAGTAGATTAGTTTGCCTGCTGTTTAGTGTCAAGAAAGTCTTCATCAAAGACACTTTAGTTTAAAACGTGTAGGCCTACCGAGCGGGTACTTTCAAATCTGAAAGCACGAATCCTCGGTGAAGAATATAATCCCTCTCTTATTACTTTTTTGTATCCCCCTGTTCCAATCTCCTTCTCGAGTCTTGGGAAATTGAAGCGACCCCACCTTCTCTATTGAGATTGAGAAGTAGTGATATGGTTTGAGTTCGCTTATCTCCACTTCAACTGCAGCAACTTCAAAGAGCCTCGTTGACAAACAAAATCTCAGAATCTCCACGGTTCCAGCTACGTGAGGTAACTCTATGTTTCAGTTGAGGAAATCGTAAATTTTTTTGTAGATTGTGAGAGATTTTCATATTTGAATGATTGGTTGGGCGGACTTTTGGTTACGTTCTTTAGGATTTCAAATGTAAAGGGATAGATGGTCTGGATGAAGTTTTGAGAAAAGGCCAAAGCATCTTGTTGTATTGATAGTTAACAGGTTCTTCCGTAGGAATTATCTTATAGAAAAGAGTGTGGGAGGTCCCACATCGGTTGGGGAGGGGAACGAAGCATTCCTTATGAGGGTGTGAAAACCTCTCCTTAGTAGACGCATTTTAAAAACCATGAGGATGATAGTGATATATAATGGGCCAAAGCGGACACAATCTGCTAGCGGTGGGCTTAGGCTGTTAGAAATGGTATCAGAGCCAGACACCGGGCGGTGTGCTAGCGAGGATGCTGGCTCCTAAAGGGGGTGGATTGTGAAATCCCATATTGGTTGGAGAGAGGAACGAAGCATTCCTTATAAGGGTGTGGAAACCTCTCCCTAGTAGACGTGTTTTGAAAACCATGAGGCTAACGGCAATACGTAACGGGTCAAAGCAGACAATATCTGCTAACGGTGGGCTTGATCAGCTCCTTTAGAAACACATCCGGTTAGTTCTGTTCTCAAAATACATGGATGACCGAGATTTAGATCAGTAAGACAACTCTTGAACATGTTATTTGATCAAACAATTTTGTCTAACAACAGACAGCAAATCTTACATCTTCAGGCATCAACAAACTTACCAAACAAATCATAATAAATCATTCAAAAAAAAAAGAAAAATACAAACAATCTTCTACACATGAATCTAATGACTGGTTATCCTTTATGCAGTTCAGACAACCAATCCGAGAGGCTCGAATGCACCGGGTTTTCTTGCGTTTGAGTATCAGGTAAGCTCGAACTTAGTCTCGAATTCAATGTCGATTCATTTAAACTGCAAAATACTGGAGATTGTGGCTGCTCTGATGTCTTAACCTTGTTGTTCATCTGCTGCTTACTGATTGTCCCTGCTTTTGCTTTGGCTGTTCTCCACTGAGTAAGATTTTCTATTGGTTTTAGAACAGAATGAACTTGTTGGCTCCTGTCTACACTATTAGTTTCAAACTCATCATGTTCTTCATCAATCTCACTGTCTTCCAAATCACTTTCACCATATCCAAAATCATCTTCTTCGTCGTCGTCGTCGCAAATATCCGCACAATTCTGGTATCTGTGGTTTTGAGGGTAATTTCCGGGATTCGAGGTCGTAAACTCCTTGTCTGTGAGTGAAGTAGAATCAGTTCTAGCTGTTGCTTCTGGGCTATGTTCTTCGGTTTTTCCCTCTTGGTCACTCTCCAGGAAATAGTGATCATCTGGAACAGGTTCGTAGGTCTGGACGTTTAGGTTAAAGCTAACTTTCTTCCTGATTTTGACCCAAGCCTGCTCCTTAGATCTATCCCTGACAACGACCTTAACAATTTAACCATAGCTCAACTAGTACTTATCAAGGTTAAAGATTTGAATCCCACCCTACATTCTATTAAACAAACAAAACAAAGAAAGTCGACAAACACTCATCACCCACCTCGGTTTAGAATTCTGAATCTCGGGTTTGTCAATAACGTCACAAGTTGTTATCTGAGAGGAATCTAAAGGCTCGTAGCTTAGATGTATCTGTCAAACGATTCACACACACAATTCTATAACGAACCATCCAACGAGAACATAATTTAGATAGAAATGAAGGATAAAAGCATAGAGATTGAATCTATTACTTGGTTGCTAACTGTGAATCCATCGACCGGTGATCGGCGTTTCTTCCGACGCTTATGAAACCCGAAACAAGCTAGAAAACACCCCATCGAGTAGCTGCAGAAGCTCAAGAAAGCTGTGTTAGATATGGTTGTTCCATTTGCAGAGGCAGGCAAGAAAGGGAAAGGGGAAACGTTGGAAGTTTGAAAAATGCATTTGGCTCCAAAGTGGTTTGAAAAGTAAGACGAACGTTGGCGCTTGTAATGAATGCAACCCCAACCAAGTGGGCGCCTACACACTCTTTTGTTAAAGATACCATAAACCCCAACCAAGTAGTAAAATCTCATTTTTGTCCTCTCTATTTCTCTTTTTCTTTTCCATTTTCATGGGGCTTTTTGTCATTTAACACCCCCTTAATGAATCTTAAAATTATTGATTTAAATATTTTCTTAATTTTAAATAAATAATTTATAAATTTTATATAGAATGTTATAATTTTATTATATTAAAAGTATAATGTAATATCTGGTTGAAAAGAAAAGGAAAAAATCATGTTATCATTGAGACAGTACATTAAAAATTGGACTTTATGGTCATTCTCTAAATTAGTCGATGTGGGACTTTCATCATCCAACACCTCCCCTCGAACAAAGCGCGCCTCTCCTTAATCGAGGCTCGACTCCTTTTCTTTTAGAGTCCTTTGTTCGATATTTGAGGATTTACCAATCTATTGACACGACTAAGTTTAGAGCATGGCTCTGATACCATTATTGAGGCTCGGATTTCTAACAGGTCAATTCGTATGGTCGGAACTACGTTTTGAGAGAAAAGTTTTAAATCGTTGAAAACAAGTAGAAATTAAGTATGGTGCAAATTACAGGTCAGGATAGAAAGTAAAATTTGTGTAAATGATTTGGGAGCAAAGTTTGGATTAAAACCAATTTTAACATTTTGATTTTGATTTCAAACTATTTGAAATGAGTAACGAAATTTGAAACCCCAAGCCCATAAATAGAGGATAATAGGTTGAGAAATTTTCCATTTTAGGCATTTTTGAGATCGTCGCACCGCTGGATCGTTGAGTTTCCATCTGTTCGAGTGCTGCTGATCGATCTTTGGAGGTCGCCAGTTCAAGTCCAAGAGACTCAATCTTCGGGCTCTACTCGTCGCCACTTCTCGCTGCCGTTTGAGTGTCGTCGCCGGATCTATAAGGTAATTCGCTGCGAGTCGCCGCCGTGATACAACCCTAAATTTGGAGAACAACAAAAGAATTGAGTATTTTATTTAATCTTTTTGTGAATTTTCTTTTTCTTCATTTGTTGGTTTAGTATGACCGAAGTTTGCAAAGCAAGCATAGGGGTGACGTGAAGTGGCGTTCATCCTCGCCCGCCCCGCTCATCTCCAGGCAATCACAGGTTAATATCTCTACTAATTCTTGCAATTCAGGCTCATAGTTCATAATATAACCAAAATAAACACATTATATATTTTAAATTATTTATTAATTATGAGAATCCATCAATAATTGGCCTCCCATAAGATTCCATTCTTGCACCATTGGCCTTCTATCTCGTGCCAATCACGTGAGTAACGATTCAGTTCATTGCTCAAAAAAATCCAGACCGTGAAGATAATCCAATCATTCCACAATCAAGCCAATCCTGACCGTTTAAATCGCATACCTTTCACTCAAACCCTACTACTTACAGCGAAAAGCACCCTTTTTTATTACCTCAGATTCACCAGAGCTCTCTCTCTCTTCCCCTTTTCTGTTCTCTTTCTCTTTTCAAGCCCCAGTCGGCTGCAAACCCTCTTCCGAAATCCGTAACCCATAAACGAAATTCAATTTTTGCAGGAAGAACAGAGCCGTGAATCGATTTTTCCATTTGGGGTTTTTGAGAAACAGAGAGAAAAAGGGGCAATGGATTCGGATCAGGGGAAGCTTTTTATTGGTGGGATTTCATGGGAGACCTCTGAGGATAAGTTAAAGGACCACTTCAACAGCTATGGTGAAGTGATGCATACCGTTGTTATGAGGGATAAGATCACTAGCAAACCTAGAGGGTTTGGATTCGTCGTCTTTGCAGATCCCTCTGTTCTTGATCGAGTTCTCCAGGATAAGCACACTATCGATGGTAAAACGGTGCGTCAGAATCTTGTTTTTGTTTTCGTTATTCGATGTCGAGATTTTGGGTCTTTTTGGTTCGTCATAATAGCATTTGTGTTCCTTTGATTTGGCCTGGATACCTCATTTGAGTTCTAGGGGTTTTCGATTCCATAATGATATTAAATACTTTCCTTTTGGGTATCACATATCTGATGTTATTGGCTTTTTAGGGTTGCTCATATTGATGCATTTGCACCTCTCGTTACTGAGCTTTTTAGGGTTGTTTTTGGTGTAATTTGTTGGTTTGGTGCATTGCTTTTTTACGAGGAGAGGTATTGACAAAAGGGTCGGTTGTGTTCTGCATTTTCGTTTCATCATAGCTTATGTTTTCATATGATTGTGTATATTCTCTTGATAGTTAGTTCTTGGTAGGAATCTGTTGACTTCAACTGTGAAGTGTTGTCACGAGTTTTCTTTTGTTAACATTAGTGAAACCGAAACCGTTACCTGTCGGTAGATCTGTTTCGGTTTCGGGGCTAGTATTTACACTGTTGCTATAACTTTCTCTCATTTGGTATCTTATCTTCTGGAAATATCTTACCTTCCTATCGAGTCGTTTTTTTGAAGAACTTTTTAGCATTTGTAATTTATATTCTTTTCTAGGTTGAGGCTAAGAGGGCCTTATCACGAGAGGAACAGCAGACCCCTGCGAGAGCGGGCAATTTGAACGCTACTAGAAATTCTGGTGGTGGAAATATGAGAACCAAAAAAATTTTTGTTGGGGGATTGCCTCCAACATTGACTGAAGAAGGGTTTAAGGAGTATTTTGAGACTTATGGCGATGTAACTGATGTAGTAGTCATGTACGATCAAAATACTAGGCGTCCACGGGGATTTGGATTTATATCTTTTGATACTGAAGAAGCTGTTGACAGAGTTTTGCACAAGACATTTCATGATTTGAATGGTAAACAAGTAGAAGTTAAGCGTGCCCTTCCCAAAGATGCCAATCCAGGTGCAGGTGGCCGCTCGATGGGTGGCAGTGCAGGCAGTGGTGGTTATCAAACTTATGGGTCATCTGGTGGTGTCAATTCAAATTCGTATGATAGTCGTATGGATTCGAATAGGTACATGCAATCTCAGGGCTCTAGTGGAGGTTTCCCACCTTATGGATCCTCTGGATATAACAATCCCGGGTATGGTTATGGTTCATCAAACAATGGTATGGGATACGGTGGTTATGGAAACTATAGTGGTTCAAATACTGGGTATGGTGCCCCTTCTGCTGTTGCTTATGGTAACCCAAATGTCGCCAATGCTGGTTATGCAAGCGGTCCTCAAGGTGGACCTAGAAGTTCGTGGTCCGCTCAAGCTCCCTCTGGATATGGAGCCATGGGGTATGGGAATGCAGCTCCGTGGGGAGGTGCCCCTGGGGGCAATGCTGGAGCTGGCAGTGGTGGACCTGGATCTGCACCCACAGGTCATTCTCCCGGTGGAGCTGCTGGGTATGGCAATCAGGGTTATGGATATGGTGGGTTTGGGAATCAAGGTTATGGTTACGGTGGAGGTGATGGTTCGTACGGGAGTCAATCTGGTTACGGTACAGGTGGAGGACGTTCTGGTAGTGCCTCAAATAGCAATGTCGGGGGTGGTCCAAGTGGGGGAGAATTACAAGGGAACAGTGGTGGTTACATGAATAGTGGCTATGGCGATGCTAATGGAAACACTGGTTATGGAAATGCTGGTTGGAGATCCGATGGCGGGCAAGTAGGTTATACCGGTGGTTATGGTGGCGCACAAGCTCGACACTCTCAACAACAGTAATTTGATGAAAAGGAAACTGGATGTTAGCATGTTGTGTGTATCTCCCTGTTTGTTTTACGAGATCGATGTTTTCCAGTTGCTTGTTATAAAATTTTTCTTCTTGTTCCTGACTGAAGCGGTGGCCCGATTCGGAACATGATGAGCCTGGTGGGGTTGCTTGAATCCAAGTAGCTTGCAGTATTAATTTTTCTAGTCTAAATAAGTAGCTGTTTTAGAAGTTTACTTGATGCTTCAGTTATTTAGTATTTTGTTGCTGAACGTAGTCTTACATTTGATCTCTTTTATGGATATGTCTATTTAGCTGTCTGTCTGCTATCAATTCTCATATTTGCACTTTGTTTGAGCTGTAATACTTTATATGCAGATGTTTTTTGTTTCCTCTTGTTCTCTAAGATCATCAGGTGTATACGACATGAAGGATTTAGACGATAAATGTTTCGTTCTGTGCTTTACATTTCATGTAGGAATACAAAGATTTAGACGATAGATGATAGTGTTGGAGCCCTCGGTACTGGGTCGATCACTTCATATGGTTAGCCTAATCGTAGTCATAGTTGGCTGTTTAACAATGGCATAACCATTTTCCCCCTCTATTTGCCCTTGTGTTACAGGAGGCATGCTCGGAGTCGTAAAAGTGGAGTCCGTCATGGCTGAACACAGGCTTCGTAGTGAAGGACCGAGTCGGGGATGATGCGTGTGTTCAGCATTTATGGACTTTTACCCCGAGAAAGAATATGTTCTTCTGTGAGGCCTCGTCGACTCGTACTCCCAAGTCTCTGGTATTGTAAGTCTCGTGAGTTTTATAGTTAAATCCATACCTTCAAGATTGAGTAGGTAATGACTTGAGGTTCGTTCTTTGTTGAAGCAGAATCCGAAAAATAAAGTGAAAACGTCGTAGCTCTTTCTCTCGTTTTCTGTTTTGCTGCTTCGAGGTCGACTGAATGTCGTAAAGAACTCGGTTTTAGAACATCTTATTAGGTGAAAATGGTATTCCTTTTGGTGTTCAGTTTGGGTGAAGATTGAATGAAAAGTTTGCATATTTTGAACTTAGACAGCTTTTTCTTTGGAGATTCCGTTGTACTTTTGTCTTTGAACTTGATTTCTTTTTGTGGTACTAATTGCATTAATATTTAGGTATAGTTACCTGAACTCTGTTAGGATCACACACTCTCGATTTAGACGTTCACAAAGAATAGGATAGAGAACTATAGAGAAAATGCAAGGAGAACTTTGACTAGAGGATTTGTATTGATGAAAATTATTGCTATTATTCAACCAATGTTTCAATAATATCTGAAAATATCTTTAAAATTTTAAAAAATTCAATAATATTTT